GCTTGAGTTGGTTTTACAAATTGTAACGGAATAGTGAGGATAAGCAATGTGAATAAAAATGATGGCGAATAATACATGCGGAGTATTAAATTTGTGTAGTTAATACTACGTAACTTTTTGACAAAATACTCCGTAATACGTAACTTTTAGTGTGGTTAATAGTAAATGTCCAGATTAAGTTGTGTATAAATATTGATGAAAGATAGGTCAACGGCCACCTACCACCACAGCCCCAGTTGTCAAAGGACATTAGTTTGGACAAAGTATATCATTCACTTTTTTATCAATGGTAAACGTTGGACAATGATTTTAATTATTATATTTGTTTAAAATTTATAAATTTTATATTTTTATGAAAATATTTTGAATAAGGAACATTTTGATATAATTTCTGTACTCTAAATAATTTTGTATTAAAAAAATCATTACTCAAATTGATTGTCATTGATCAAAAAAGTGAATTTGACAAACTTTTTCGGAACGGATGGAGTACTTTGACGGTGGTAATCATAGTAGACTACTAGTAGCAAAATGGCCGTTGTTACCCACTTACCCACTTTTCTAATTTCGAACTGATTGTTCTATTATTTCTCTAGTTAGAACGAACTTAGAAGTGTTTATCTGACCAAATACAACGTATGTCTTCGACTTGTTTAACCTTAGAGCCTTTGTGGTTGACCCTGTTCTTCCGGAAGTTGAATCCTCTCGAGAGAGTTCCATCACGAGAGATACAGAAAGTTTAAGGTGGGATAGGTTGGTGAGTAAGATAGATAAAATGGTAGAGATATATAGGAAGTAAAAAAGAAATGAGAAAAAATGGAGAGAAAGAAATGGAGAGGAGCTGAATTCGTTTTCCAGCTTATCAGGCTTATCAATTAATTTTTTCGCAAAAAACGTAACTTTTGATTCGCGCGATGAATTGTGTAGTAATAAGAATCATAAGTTACTGGTTGTATTGGTTGAAGTTATTTTATAATTAGCTATTACGGAGTATATTTTTCATATAATTTTTTCTATATTTTATTAATAAAACATATTTTGATTTTTTTTATATAAATCCGCATAATCAACCAATCCGTCACTTCAGCCAGAACTTCATAAATTTCAGCAGAATTAGCCGATTTAGTCAATTTCGGTGCTATCAAAAGAACTTTTAATCCTTTTATATTTTAGTCATGACACAAACATTTATATTCTAGAAATTTGCATCATAGTGATCCTGTTCATTGCAAGAAATTTGCATTATAGTGATCCTGTTCAATGCAATGATGACTGAATTATTCCTCTCCGAGTACCTGATTATAATTCTTTAAAAAATACTTCCACCTCCGTCCCTTAAAATTTTGACAAGTTTGACCGACATAAGGATTAATAAAGTAAAAACTGTGCGATGGAGGTTTGTGCAGAGAGATAGAATTGACTGGAACCACAAATTCTTTACTTAAAATTGAAAGTGACAAAGTTAGTGAGACATCCAAAAAAGGAAAGTTGACAAAGTTTTAAGGGACGGAGGGAGTACGTACTATAAACAACCACATAACACATGATAAAAATGAGGGAGAACTATCAAATAAGCCTTCAAACTTTCATTAAAAGTGTAAATAAGCCCTTTTACAGGAGGTTTTGTCCGGCTGTCGTCATTTGGGGAGGTTTCCGGTGGAATTTTTTGATTAAATTTTTTGAGCACCTTCTTCATCAAGTCTAGTTTACCCATACTAAATTTCAGCTAAAAATTCATTTTAGGAGACAATCAAATGATTTTCTTAAATATACTGCGCTGTCTAACCGCGTATTTATCTTCAAAAATTCATTTGACTGCCTTTCCGATTGAATTGTTAGCTGAAATTTGGTATGAGTAAACTAGACTCAATGATGAAGATACTAAAAAAAATTCATCAAAAAATTTCACCAAAAACTACCCCAAATGGTGACAGCCAGACAGAGTCTCCTATAAAAGGGCTTATTTGCACTTTTTATGAAAGTTCGAGGGCTTATTTGATAGTTCTCCCTAAAAATAATTCAACATAAATGACTTGGCCTACTCGATTCTTTTTCACGCTTAACTTCACTCATTGGCTCATTGCTATGAAAACACTGTATGTATGTCGTAGGGGGTGTTTGGAACCGATTCTAGCAGAATCAGGATCAGTTTTCAAAAGCCGGTCTCCCCCAGATTCTCAAAAAACTGATTCTAGGAGTAAATTAGAGCATCGAATCATTTTTAAGAATTAGATCCAAACACCCTCATGATTGAAAGTAATTAAGATCAGACTGCCACAACTCACAACAATATGTTTTAAAAGAATTGATATGAGAGTTAAGAAAGAAACTGCTAAGAAAAAGAAAGAGGAGCAAAAGAATTCCAAGCAGCTAGCTAAGTACATGCCAATTATTGGTTTCACTTTCACACCCCCTACCTAATACATCCATCCCTATGACTTAGTCTATAGATCAGCTGAATGTTAAGGTATGGAGCCAAAGAAGCAAAACCAGAACATGGTGGTGAGAATTGAGGTAAGGGAGAAGAAAGTTATGTCTGGTCCCCCTAGCTGGGTAGCTAGGCATAGATAGCTACAGCATTATTGAAGTGGCTACCAGACAAAACACCAGCTATCAATAAAAGTATCCCACCCTTAATTAGCTTTAATAAAACCTCCCCTACACTTTTTGGGGCACTCAAAAGGCACATATTTCCTTTTGAGCCTGCAATATGCATGCCACTCATCAGTAAATACAGATCCAGAAAGAAAAAACAATGTAACAGTTGCTGCTGCTGCTGCTGGTGATTGGGACGTTTCTGGATCACAGTTTTGGGATTGTTGTCTGGATGATATATGAGAGAATCCATTAAACATTCAACGTGCGGAGGAATATCTAACCCCTTTGGTGTAAGTTGTTGGCCGGCATATCCCAAAACATTATTACCACAAGATGTATAATACACGTAAAAACTTGAATGGCCGGCCTATTTCATCACCATTCAAAAATAAAGTATATGGAAATGAAAAAGTCGAAGTATATTGCAACTATTAAAGGTTTCTCATTTTATTATTCATGCCATCAATGTACGTAATTCTTTACTTTCTGTATCAAATTTAAGTTATTATCATGTTTTAATTCAGCCAGCAACATAAGCAGTAAATGGGCAAAACAGGTGAATTTATATTAGATGGATAATTTAGTTTTTTTTTTTTAATTTTGAGGATTTGGTTGGGCGTTTTTTAGCATGATGGTATAATTTCCATTTTACTATAGTACGAGGACCTATTTGTTAGTTTTTCTTTTAAAAAAAAATTAAGTTACCAAAAAATAACAATTACTAAAAAACTTTCAAAAGTGTCATTTCAATTAAGTGTGCCAAACATACCTATAATGCTAAAAGTTATTTCCTCCATCCCAGAAAATTCTTCCCACTTTGACTTGACAAGGAAATTAAGAAAGTGGAATAAAGTGGAAATGTGCGGTTGTAGATGTGTAAGAAAAAGGTGAAATGAATGTGAACCACACAAATTGTCCAAAAATGGTAAGTGGAAAGAATTTTTTGGGACGGTCCAAAAAGGAAAGTGGAGAGAATTTTATAGGACGGGGGAGTATAAACTTTCTCTCGGTGTAACTTCTCGATCTTTTGTTTTTAAGAAAACTCTAATATAAAAACTGTTGCATCAAACAGAAACTTTTAGAATTAATCTTTTTAAATAATAGAAAAGTAAGAAATTAAGAATTTATACCTACCAAACATGTACTAAACATAATCCGAGACGAGCTTTACAAGTTGGATTGGCAGCAATTCTACATTGAAAAAATTGAATATTGTCTGTTCTTGCCAAGTTCAATTTATTTTGCATCTCAACCAAACTAATCTAAATTTGTAAATTCTCAAGTAATACATTTATTATCTATATTAATATTATTATTATTAAAGAAATATCTTCAATAGGAGGTAAAAGCAAGGCCGTTTACTTGTATGGGAGTAACCGAGTAGGTGTCATCATCTTGAAATGATATTGATATATTATGACATTAATATAACATTATTAATGTATAATAATGCTGCAATATGACAATATAATACTGTATACAGAGTATATAGTAGGGGTGGACCCAACCAGTTCGGCCCCGCCCGGAACCGGCCCTGCCCGCTACTGTGCGGGCCCAGATCGACCCGGTTGGTGCTAACCGGGCCCGGGCTTTTACCCGGTTAGGGCAGGCCAGGCGGGCCGGGCTCGGGTCACGCTTTCCTTGAACCGGCCCAGTCAGGCCGGGCCCGAGCTTTTTTTCTTTTTTTTTTGTTTTTCTTGGTTAGGGCTGGGTGTTTTGGGGGGTGAAGGGGGTGGGGGTGAAGGGGGTGGGGGTGAAGGGGGGGGGGGGTGAAGGGGGTTAATTAGAAAGCAAAAAAAACATAGAACCGGGCCCATAACCGGCCCGGGTCCACCCCTAGTATATAGTATTTCCATTTAGGTTAACTAATTTTTACTCCTATTTTGGTAAAATTCCATTATGACAGTGTTGCTTCACCACATTTTAGAATAAAAACTTTTTGGTCGACAAATATGGTACTGGCAATGTTCGGAGTGTCCGTTTGGTAAGGGTTATATCACAAAAGTTGTTCAATCTGCTGAAAGAAAGTGTTTGGTAACATCAACTTAAAGACTGTTTTGTCCCGAACATACACTTCAATCCTAAGTTTTCCACTTTTGTCTTGGAATCTCAGTAACAATTTTTCCCACCATCTTTTACTCCAACATCATTAAACAACTTTCTTCTGCATTTTTCCTTCAAATCATTTTGCAGAAAACCAAGATTCAGGCATGCACTAAAGCCCGAAAACAAAGCTTAGCTTAACACCAAACCATTTCAAATCACAGTACCAAAGTAACACTGAAGAAGAAAGCCATCATACTTCTTCATTTAACATTCATTTACAACATTGTAAGTTCACTTCAGTAATTGAAGCTTGCAACAATATTCTAGAAGGTTTGAAACATTGCACCATTCGGTGATGAGAGTAAAGTAATCAAGTAATGTCTATTTCAAGAATGTGCAAAATTCTTTATACAGAATTCATTTATTTTATTGGCAAACACAATTTACATAACAAATTTGTAATTCACACGAAAACTAACCTAGCTATCCTTTCACGAGTATTATCATTTACTGTGTGTATTGCACAATAACCGGATTATGTGGACACATGCAGTGTTTATATACATGCATAGAAAAACCTGCCAGGCTGCCAGGCAGGAAGCAAAAATAATAAAAAATTATAATACAATTGAATTCACACCAGTAGTATCTGTATGCGGTGAACTTTTCTTGTTTTGCTTCATAAAACAAAATCTGGCAAGAGATGCGAGTTGACGAACCTTTCTTGTTGGTCCATATAGTAGTAATCTCCTGCTTTTCCCATAATGTCCGTAGAGGAAGCCGCTTTATCACTAACCCCTCTTAATTGTTTAGCTAGATTGTTCTGATTTTGTTTCAAGCCTAGAGCGAGGGACACTTGAGTGCCGCCCCCAAACATGGAAACACTGTTTGGTTGAGTAATACCTTCATCACCAGTTTGGTTGGATAATGCTGTGTGTTGCTCAGCAAAAGTATTGTCTCTTTCCTCGGATAGTGACTTGTCCTTTTCTGATATCTGTTTGGGCGAAGCAGTAGAGCCTCCTTCCTCGGTATCGCCAAACTCCTCTTTGTACATGTCTTCAATCATTGGCTTCCAAAGACGCACTCGAGCATTTATGAACCAGTTTGCAACCTGAGTACATGGTTACTTCATTAGAATGCTGCCTCAGTGACAAACTTGGTCAGTAACCATAGTGACTTCCACTTATTAAGCATTATCCTACACAATCAAAACCTTATAATCCCAGTTAGCTGTGTCAGTGCTAAGCAATCAGGTCAACTGTCTCCAATGCATGACCTTTAGACAGGGGCGTTTTTAGGGGGTTAAATAGGTTATCCAGAACTGCCCCCCCCCCCCCCCCCCCCCCGATTTATGGAATTATGGGGCCCAGTTTTTTAAAAATTGATTAGTATTATATAGTAAAATATATGTATTAATATATTAATACTAATCAGTAAAATACAATTAGTAAGGAGGAAAAATATAGATCCTTAGATCCATCATTTTGCATTGATCCTTTTAGTTCTCTTTTACTCAAATTGCTTGAATAATGAGTTGTGTTACTTTAAATCAAGTATTAAGTAAGTTTTAGAAAAAAATTATTACATTATTTAATGAGTATTCAATTGATTTGAGTATACGTATTTTAATTGAGAGTTTTTTAACTTTTTATATTAATGTGAGGCCTCGACTTTACATTTGGAACCATGGCCTTCAAATTCATTAGACGGCCCTGCCATTAAAAGCTTAGTCTGCCTTGCTTATTTCAGTCAACTTGGCTTCAAAGTTTTACATGTTTGTCATGCGGTACTTAAGGTGAATTCTGCGGAACCAAAATCCCTCTAACCCATGTTATTGACTACGAACTAATGGAACTATTTGTTTCACTTCAATTTCATTCTATACCAAACATTGAATTTCTGGTGTTAATTAAGTATTTAATTAATTCTATTCCCTCCTACCAAACAACAGAACTACCTTACTTAGTCTTTTCCCATGGAAATGAAGTTCTAAATGTGTTATTATGGAAGTTCAATGATCCATAAATATTTCAGTTTAGATTCAGGCTCCAAAATCCACACATATGAATAAGCAAGCATTAATCAAATTGAAAACTTCAATTTCCTAACTAACTTTTCGTGCACACCCTCATCAAGGGGGATGATCCCATTTAATATACTACATATAAATAAGTATGTATATATATAGGTTGTGGTTAAATAAATAGTAGTTTGCGTTGAAAATGAAAACAGAGAAGACTGATGCACTTTAATCATATGATATATTGATATTGCACTTGTAAGACTTACATATTCACTATTCAATGAACGTGGAGGCAGACATTCCACTAGTATACAAGTTTTACGCCGCATTTTATTTCAAAAAATAACCTGATCTTTTGAAACCTTTACATCTACAACCGAATGCATCACATTTATTCCCATTTTTTTACCTACAGCTCATTTTTATCTCATCAAAAGTCTCTCTCTCCATCTATATATATATATATATAGATATATGAGAAATGAGAATGAATCTCAACCGTTGGATTCGACTATGTTGCAGTTAAAATAACTTCATGTTGCACTGAAATTTGCAACCTAACACAGTGACATTTTCGTAAATACTTCTGAAAAATCCGTGTTACATTTGTCTAGTGCAACATGAATCTGTTTTGGTGCAACATCGTCAAAATTTAGTGCAATATAAAACAATCGTAGTGCACCATTGCAAAGTTTAAATCTTACTACAACATTAAGCTATTTAAGTGCAAAATCGTAAATCTAACGGCTGACATTCATTCTTATTTCTCAAATTAGATGCATTTCTCATTTGAGTCAAAATCTATACACACACACGGAGTATAATATATTTATGGAGAATATGAATACCTGGCTTCTGGTTAACCCAGTCTGCCTTGCAAGCATGCTCTTTTCTGAGTCTTTCGGATACCTAAAATTTCACAAATAGTAACAGACAATCATAGGTAACATCTATTGGTACCAAAAGATCAAATAGCATGCATATACATATAAAGCTGTCCATAACATAAATAGAGCATAATAACATACGGATGGAGGAAATGTTCAAAAAGCCAAGCACGGAGCACAGAAACAGCATTCTCTGGCAAACCTCTCTGCGGCCTCCACGGCTGTCTCATCATCACACCGCCAAACTGCTGAAGTGACCTTTGCTGTCTCAGTTTCTGGTCCACATAACGTAGACGGTGCAACCTTTCTCCTTGGCTGCCACCACCACCTTGCTCCTCTCCTAAGCTTTTCTGTGCGACTTGAATCTGTCTCTTGATTGCATCCCGCAGGCAGCGAAACTGACAAGAGATCGTTCTTAGGGCTAGTGACGTGTATGGCTTAGCTGAATTAAGTCCGGCAATCATTTCAAAGCAGGACACCACATCCTGCATCTGCTGGTGATACTGTCTATACCTTTTATCCACCTATATATAAAGAAGTGTAATGATATTATTGTTTTTTAACAGCTCCATTGAAATGGAGAAAATAAATATGAATATTGTGTGTGTGTGTTCGATAAAGCTTATTTTAGAGCATGTAGCTTATTTGAAGCTAGGTTTTTGACACTTTTAGTCCTTCGGCTATTGTGTTACTGACACTTTTGATACTCACTATGAATCTTCCACTTTAGGCAGTTCTCCACCAGAAGTGTCACTTTCTTAATATTTAGAGGATTAAAAGTGAAAAAAATTAAAGATGGGTAACAAGACTATCTGTCACAACAGAACGATTGCTTGTCTCCCTCCTCTGTCTCATCATTTTCATTTTCATTTATCCCAGTGCCGCAAAGGCTCCCACCTACGGTGGGGTAAGGGGGGGTCGGATGTACGCAATCTTACCCCTTTACTAAAGCACAGAGAGACTGTTTCCGGATGACCCATAGTGAAAATCGCGTCCAAAATTGCATGGACTGACTGCTTCTCCATAACAAAGAAGCGCAGACAGTTTAGTGAGCCATTTTGCTTTATTCCATCATAATCTCAAGCCAAAAAATAATGAATCTTTGGCTCCATTGCAAATGATGGAAATATCTCCCTCCTCTGTCTAATGGTTTTAATTCTGATATCATATGATTCATGTTAGCCAGCCACAAACTCTTTTGGGAATAAGGCTTATATGTAGTTTCAGTCTAGGGGCTAAAATGAATAAATTCAGATACAATACCAAAAGTGTCATCGAGGACTAAAAGTGGCAATTGGCAAAATTCTTTTAAGCTCCAAAAAATTACCAGTCAAGTTTGGTGAATAGTGTAAGAGCTTAAAATAAGGTCTGAATTGAAAATTTATCTCTCAATAGTTTTGGAGAAAAATAAAACCATGTATCAATCTATAAGCAGTATATGTGATGCCCCTTACGTCCTTTTACATAAATCAGCTACTCAACATCTAGTCTTACCCAGACACTTCTAACACCATCTACACCTTGTAATTTTCAGCTCCTGCCTAACAACAGCCTTTTGCTAGTTTGCAACTTTCAGCCATGTATGCGGTGTGGCAATCAGACCATTGCAATAGCTTATTTTGGGTTCTCTAAGAATGAAATGTTTCTATATCTTTTTTGAAAATTAGGAATACTAAAAGAAGTCTCAGGATACGTTAGGTAGCCATAATAGGCTTATTCTGCTCATTAGCACGGCAATTGGCTTATGACTAACAGCTTTTTGGGATGGCTTATACTATAAGTGGTTTTATAAGAAGTGTTCTCATTTAAAAAATAGAAGCATTTTTTTAAAGCGGCAATCTGTTGCTTTTTAAATAAGTACAAGTATTTTTAGAAGTAAAGCACTTTTTCCATTTTCTGCAAGCACTTTTTAAGTAAAGATATTTCTCTACCTATAACAATCACATTCTTTAAAAATAAGTCATCCCAAAGGCACACTTGGAAAACATTTTTTACTTCAGAGAAAGCATATTTCAGCAACATAACCTTGCCAAATGGCCCCTCAATAAAAGCTATCTAAGAGAAGATATCACTCATAGTTTAGATGGATTCAGCATTGAAGAACCCAAACCAATCACACCATAATATAACAGACTCACCTCATCCAATAGGGAGAATAACTTTGTGATCTTGCTATCAAGATCATGCCGTTCAGCAGCGGAAAGCTCTCCACCAGACGATGTGTTAGTCGAACTGTGGCCTTCCGATGACATCATCCCAGCTCCAAAACAGCTGGGTGATGATTTCATATCAGCCTCTTCGTCTTGTCCAAATAAATTTAGGTTACGTTTTTCTGGTCTCCGAATATCTCTATGAACATTAACCACTTCGTCAAGCAACTCCTGTGTGGCCTTGAGATATTTAGAGTTATAAACACTCCCTGCAATACCATTTATATGTTGACTAAAATCCATCGACCTTTCGTGATTGTCTCCCTCTGAGCCAAATGAATATTCCACATGTTTATTCTCATCATTTTGTGATCCATGGTCCGAATTCATAATTTGGGTAGCCATAAGTGAAGAGAACCCAGAGTTTGTATATGGGTCATGGTATGGAGGGATTTGGACCGAAGATGGCACTTGCATTGCCAAACTAAGGGATAATCCTTGATAATGAAGATTTTGTTCAACACTTTGAGCATCGAATGGTTTCGTGGAATAAGAAGACAAGGAGGATAATTCCGGGTAGGATGCTATGGTGGAAGGATGGTTCAAATAGACCAAGTTACTGGGAAAACCAGGCGGTTGGTAGGAATTATGTTTCTCATTTGGCAATAATGGCATTGGAAGATCTTCTCTTTGGTCAGCCAAACCTGAGAAATAAGTTGCCATATCTTTTTTCCACAATTGGACAGATTCCTAAGCTTCAAGTTGAGTAGTGATTTCAAGCAATAGGCAATATAACATTCAGTAAAGCAAATAAACCAAATATCTTCATGGTTGCTCCCATCATGCCAACGAACCTATCCAGAATATTAAAAAATTATACATAAATAAATGTTTCTCAGGCAAAGAAACATAATAAAATGATTTATATTTTATAGCATGGCATACTTAACAAAAATTAGAGCAACAATATGCAGAAAAGATGGAATATCCCACAGAGCAAGACTCCAAGATCATGGTCAACTACATAAAAAACTCATCAGAAATATCCTAAACAGATCACTGATTACTACATCAAATATCAATCACAAGCAAGGGCAAAACATAAGAGTAGCAGGAAAAAACTAAAGCAAATCAAGAAATTACCTGCGGAGAAATCTGGAATTTCTGTGTTTCCCACAATTGAGGAAACAGAGATAGCCAAAGAGAGTGATTGAGAGCAAAAGAAAGAAAGAACGAAAAAAATTGAATTCAATTGGCTCAAAAGATAAGATTTCCCATGTGGAGGGAGACAGAACTCATATATCCCCCAAAGATCCTCACCCTCCTTATCATTGAACAATGACACCAACCAAAGAAACTAGCAACAATAACAGTAATTGTCAAGAAATAATAATTTTCAATAAAATAGAATGGTAATCATGAAAGTACAGAAGACAAGCCAGCCTCAACCTTTCCTGTTGAAATAATAAACATATTTTGGGTTCCCTTTCAATAATTCCAAGCTTTCCCAAAGTGGGGTCCAAGCTACACGACCAAAAACACCCTAGAAACTTCTTTTTTTAAAAGAAATGTTTTTTTTTTCAAGAAACACCAAAATGGGACATTTGCAAAACCCGGGAAGTGGCGGTGGTTGTTCTCCGTTTAGGCGGTGATGGTTAGGGGTCTGAATCGGTAACCACCAGTTGGTAGACCTAAACTAAACTGCTACTTACTGATAATCTTTAAAGCTTTGACAAGATAAGAAGACTAAATATGGCTAAGGTTGTTACTAGACCTAACACACAATTAGGTACAGCTCTGGTTTGGTAGTGCAATAGCTCCATTTATATGTATAATTAATTATATATACACAAGAAATAGGTCTACCTTTTATTGCATACAGTATAGTATACGTAGGAGTCTGCATGTTAGCCATAAGAGATGAGCTACAGCTACCTCCCACATCAATGGATTATGGATATCCCTCCTACTTTGGGTGGGCAAAAATAAATAAGGAATAGACTTACTACCTTTAATAAGAATTCTCTAAATTAGATTAAATAAAACATTAATTGCGAAAATAGGAACATATTATTAAAAATTCTCTAAATTCAATTCATATTTCAATATTAATTAAAACATAAAAATAATAACATAACTTTATTTATATTAAAAAAATTAAAACACAAAAAATAAAACGAAAAAGTAAATATTAAATAAGATTAATAAAAAAATTGAAAAATAAAAAGTTATAAAATAAAAAACTTAAAAATTAAAATTTAAACTATAAAACAATGCAGGCCTATGATGCCGCCTGAACAACCTCCCAGTACCACCAGCTCTAACTACCGGAAATAAATACCAAAATGTGTCAAAATGTCAAAAATAACTTTAATTTGGTTGTGCCACAATGTGTCAAAATGTCAAACATAACTTTAATTAAAACTAAAAAGGTAAAAAAACTCCTAAAAGTATACTCTATTAGTTGTGCCAAACATAACTTTAATTTGATTATGTCTTAATTATTAACGCATTAATAATTTTTTTTAAAAAAATTGTTAAATTTATCTCATTATAATTTTCAAATTCTTATTTTTTAAATTTATTTTATTAATAGAGAATCATATATATTAATGGTCAAAGATGTGCATTGACAAATATGAAAAGTTGATCATTGTACTTGTTTAAGAATGTAAGAGGTATATACTAGTAGTATTGAACATATTGTTGGAAAATGTGTTAATTAAATGGTCATTTTGGGGCAATTATTTGAGTGGGGTCCACTTCCGATTTGGGTCGGGTAAAAGTGGTTTTGGATTATACTTGCTAAGGGCTACAATTCGATATGTGGTACACTCAAAATGGATAACGAGTGAATGAGAAATTGATTCTCGAAGTTTACTCGTTGAAATGGAGAAAAATAGGAAAATGATGATTTCTAGTGCGTTTTATCCCACACCGAAAAACCCAAGGGATTTTCACCCCTTATAAAGGGATCCCTATTTGAAGAAGTTAAGATTCTTAAGTGGAAAGGCTCTCTTCGGGCGCGGGGTGCTGATCAAAATTCAAGATGAAGGAATGTCGGTTAGCGAGTCTTTCCAAGTGGCGTCAATTATACATTTGTTGCCGCCGGCTTGGAAGGATTTCAAAAACTACCTTAAGCATAAGCAAAATGAAATGAACTTGGAGCAATTGATCCTCTATCTTCAGATTGAAGATGATAATCGAAAAAACGATGGGAAACTCCCAATCGTTAACAGTGTCAAGGCAAACATGGTGGAGCATGCAGAGGGCTCCAAAACAAAAAATAATGGGAAGAGCAAGCTCGGTCCCAAGGGAGGCGTTTCCAAGACAAAGTTCAACGGAAAATGCTTCATTTGCAATAAAAACGGACACAAGTTCGCGGATTGCAAGGCGCCGAAAAGGAAGAAAGATTCTCACGTCAACTTGGTGCAAGGTGGGCAAAAGGATGAAGACATCATCCTTAGCTTGCGGCCGTGGTGACCGATGTCAACCTCATTGGATCTAATTCCAAGCTAAGGAGTGGTTTGTGGACACCGGTGCAATCCGGCATATTTGCTCAAACCGGGAGTTATTCACAACTTTTGAGCCATCAAATGGTGAGAAGGTGTGGATGAGAAACTCTGCTCATTTCGCGGTTGAAGGCATGGGCAGGGTGGTCCTGAAGATGACTCTCAACCAAGTGTTGTTCGTTCCGGAGATACGCAAATACTTGATCTCCGGCTCGTTGTTGAACAAACATGGCTTCCACATGGTTTTTGAGTTGAACAAACTAGTTTTGTTTAAGTCGGGAATGTATGTGGGCAAGGGGTATACATGTGACGGGCTGTTTAAGCTCAATGTAATGACTAATATCAATAATAATAAAAATAAAAATAATAATAATAATAATAATAATAATAATTATAATAATAATAATAATAATAATAATAATAATAATAAAATCTCTTCTGCTTACTTGCTTGAGTCTTGCAATGTGTGGCATGGTAGACTAGGACATGTTAATTTTAATTCTATACGTAGATTAATTAACATGGAACACATTCCTAAATTCACAATTGATGTGAAGCACAAATGTGAAGTTTGTGTAGAGGCAAAACTAACGAAAACGTCTTTCAAATCGGTTGGAAGAAAAACGGAACCAAGAAATTTATAATCATGTAGATTGAATGAAATTGGAATTTTTTTTGAGAAAATTTACATTTGGTTGAAAGTCGGGTCATATGGTAGGACTAAGTTTTAGCTATGTAGTAAACATCCTCCTTATATGTTCTTAGCATTTTTCTTTGTTCTCTTTACATCAACTAAGAAATTGATCTATTTGCTACACGAATGACGGATGAAGTTAAAAAGCGTGAATGAAAATTGAGTGTTTCGTATAGAGATGTTTGTGTAGCGTATCATAACTGCTAATTTCTTGCTTTCCTAAATACAAAATCTTCACGCAATGAAGATGATAGAGTATATATTCTAGAGAGAAGCGAGAGCTAGAGAGAGAAGTGCAATAAGTTCTGCAATAAATGAATTTGTCAACCCCTACAACTACTCCAAAAGAGAGTATTTATAGAGGAAATGTGGGCAGACTCCCAATTCTTGTGCTTGGGAGGCCCATTTTCAATAGGGCCACTACTGGGTCGAGTACAAAGTATGTAGAAATGACTAAGTATAAAATCCGGCTCTGTGAGCTCTTTGTGGTCGACGGGGGTCTGGCCGACAGAGCCACGGCCGACGAAGACCTGGCCGACGGAGACACCCGGTTCTCCTGGCTTCTGGATCATGTTCTGAGTCGATGATTTTCTGGCCGATGGATGGCCATCTAGCCGACGAAGGTCCCACTAGGTGACAGTTGTGCCTCTTGTTCTTCTGAGTATTTGGGTCCTGGGGTCTGGGCCCATATACACCATCAGGAATCCCCCACTCTCTGCGCTGAGATGCAGATGAAGTGCGGGAGAGTAGATTCTTGCAATCTTGACGTTTTTGGCCGACGCGGGGGCGCTGTGGTTATTGTGTTTGGCTGTTGTATGTCCTTCGTCGTGGACGAAGGAGACTATTGTTCCACTAATGGGGTGTGCATTCCCTGTTTTGGCCGTTGTGTGGCCTCTGTCTTGGCCATTGTGTGGCCTCTATGTTTGGCCGTTGTGGCCTCTGCTGTGGTTGAAGGAGGTCCTTGTTCTGAGAGTGGTGCGCGCCTTTGTGCTCTAGGACGATGAGTGTTATGGCCTGAGTAGCCGATGATTGGTCACCGTTTTGAGGGTGACATGGCCTCTCTTTGGCCGTTGTTGGTTGCCTTTTGTGTTTCTGGCCGAGGAGTTTGGTGTTCGTGGCCTTGATGACGATAATGGCACTCAACCAGAGGATGTTGTGTGTCCCCTGGTTTTGTGGACGTTGGGGGGTTATTTTCTTACCTTGGATGAGGATGGAGTACGTGACCCCAAGGCCGTTGAGCGCCACGCGCCGAGGGATGACACGTGTCACGTTCTGGGAGGTGAGCTTTGCTTCCTTGTTTGCTTACTTTGTTGCGGCCAAGGGTGCACCACCAGGTCCTAGACGTTATGGTGCATAGACGATACGGTGTTGTTGTAGTTGTATACTTGTGCTTTTTTTGGATTTTCAATTTTGTCGTTGCATTTGGAGGCCGTTGTAGTCCCCCAGTCCCCCACTGCTTCAGGTCGAAGGGTCAGTGAGAGGTGAAGTAGTAAGGTGAAACCCCAAGCCGAAGCGAGATCCTCATATTTCCCCTGAATCCAACCCCTTGGCGATTCTTGACCAAGATAACTCTGTGGGAGAACCCTTGGACGCAGGTCGCTTTCAAGAGGTTATCATCAGAAGGTTTTATACGGGGGCCGATGGATGTTAGGTCCTTTTCCACTTTGTTTTTGTGGCAGTTGAAAGAGCCCTGTTGTTGGTAACATGTCACGCCGATATGGGCACACCTTGAGGCCTTTGATGCTGAGGTGGCGTTCTGACATGGGGCAAGCCGTTGAAGTAATTGTTGGCTACTAGGGCCGGTGCAGGCGTGACCTGTGAACGTGGAGAGTCATCTCTCCCCTTAGTGTGGCCGTTGAATGTCTTGGCCGTTGTGGGTGCAACCCATTTGACTGTTGAACCGTAGGGCTTACCTTGATAGTGGGCTTATAGTGCCCGAAGTGGGCCTGGCCCATATTTGAAACGATGGCACCTTATTGGCCCTTGGGGTGGTGACCGTTCACGTGGCCATTGAGGGGATGCCACATGTAGTTTGGGGGAGTTCTATAAATACCCCTCCCCTCCGAAGTGAGGCGCTCATTTGCAACATGAGCTAACGAAGTGCTGCCGGATTTTCTAGAGGGATAAGCTGTTTAATTCTTCTGCTGACCAAGGGTAACACGCATGTCCCCTCAGCATGGTACCTTTTGAACAATAAATGATGCCTAGTAGACAGTAACTTGCTACCATGGAGCTGAGGTGGCATCATGCCCCCTACCTATGTAAGGTGTTATGGGTTGGGAGGTTCTCACTTGATTTATTCTAACTCTCGATGAAAGCACCAAATGATAGATTATACGTCTAGAGAGAAGCGAGAGCTAGAGAGAGAAGTGCAATAAGTTCTGCAATAAATGAATTTGTCAACTCCTACAACTACTCCCAAAGGGAGTATTTATAGAGGAAATGTTGGCTGGGCTCCCAAGTCTTGGGCTTGGGAGGCCCATTTACAATGGGACCACTACTCGGCCGAGTACAAAGTATGTAGAAATGACTAAGTATAAAATCCGGCTTTGTGAGCTCTCTATGGCCGACGGGGGTCTGGCCGACGGAGCCATGGCCGACGGAGACCCG